CACAGAAGTAATAAACATACACTGATAAAACACATATAAAACATGCATTTCCACTGTGCCTAATCTAGATTCAGCTGATCAATTATTAAATGTCTCTGAGTTACTGGCCCATTTAGACTTGACATTGATATTGTAACACCTCAGATATTATTTGAACTATAAAAAAATACTTTGCATCTATATCTTTAAAAGCAGTTTTGCACCTTTAGGGTAATGGAATTGACTCATCAGTCAACCTTTAAATAGCATTAATAAAGTCCTTATGATGATCTAACACATTTCCTGAAATGAGCAAAGACTCTTGATCACTTCTCAATGTGAGAAAATAAGCCCATTAAAGGCCAATTACTATTGACACAATTTCTTCTTACATAACAATCTGAATCTGTCAAATTAAAACATGAAAAGTCAGAAATTTCATGTTCCACACATTCAATAGTCTAATGACAAGATAGCAGTAGTTTTATGTATGATAAGAAGCACTTCTGAACCAAACATCTTGTTTTCAGTTAATAATAATGCCATATACAGTTAGAGCTTAAGTTCTACTAAAGAATGAAGGCAGACTACAGAATGACAGTGCAGACTCACAGGAGAAAATTACTCCACGAAAGACAAAGTTCCATGTATGCTCACAAAACAGAGGATTAATAGATAATAGATTAAGTGTTCTGGGGGGGATGGCTCTCTCAAGTGGCACACAAGAGACCCAGAGACTCCTCCCAGCAATTCTCAATCAGCCATTTGTTTCCATCTTTTCACCAAATATTGCTTGTTTGCCCCTTTGGATAAATTTCCATTCTCTATCCTACTCTGGTCCTAAGAAAATGACTTGTACTAAGGAGTTCTTCTGACATTTTAACATTTTGTTGGATGTGGCCAACAGATAAGGAGTCTGTGGGGAAGGGAGTGGGCAATGAGTATTGTTATATTACTTTCTCCAAAATGCTACTCTTTTACTGCTTCTAGTGATTTCTCTTTCCTCCTACCTGTAGACCCAGCTCTGATAATAGATGCCCAGTTGCTTCTAGTACTGTCTGTTGTGTCTTGCTCATTTCTTTAAACCTAATCCACAACTTTGTATATGAGTAAATGATTTAATTTTAGTATGTCGTTATTGCCAACCCCTAATTCATATACTCCTTTTTCCTCTCTTTGAAGAATACTTCCTTTAGAAGCAATCAAAGCCCTTGCCTGAAAATTGCCAAATGAATTCTCTGCAACTCTGTTCCTTCTTCATATTCTTAGTGTACTGACACTGTGAGAGATATTTCAGTTTCATAATCTCGCGTCTACAAATACAGATGGTTAATTCTACCATTCATTCCCGGGGAGGATTTTTAAGGATTTCCAATAAATATTTCTAAACTTAAACTATCTTTCATACAAAAGTGTTGTATTTCCGGCTGTTTTATTTAGAACTGATGTGCTAGAGAAACCTCATATCTATCAATCAACTCCCAATTAAAAAACCATCTCAAGGCACAGGGAACAAGTATTTCTCTCTGGCCCCTACTTCCATTAATTTTATCACAATTTTCTAAGTCTATTCAAGGCCTAATTCATCTTCAAGTAATAAAATTATTCCTTCATAAGTTGCTTGCATCTTTCTCTTCCCTTTTCATTACTGCTGTTAAATTAGTTCAGGATTAATTAGCTTCAAGTTTGGTAATTGCATTAACTCCCAAACTGGCATTTTCCACAGTAACCAGCAGCACACGCTTAATCATATAACATCTTCATATTGCTTGAGTAGGTCAAAACAAATTATAAAGAGATTAGATGTCATAAAAATTTAGATAATTAAAGAGAAATACGTAACAGTTTTAAAAGACAAAGAAGAAAAAAAGCAATACTCATATCTGCTGGTAATTTAAGGCAACGTTTTGTGTGTCAGGCACTCTATAATCACAAAGAATCATCAAACTTTTTAAAAAGGAACACAAAAACACGTGTAAAGGAGGTATTAGCAACAACATTTTGACCAGAGCCAATTGAGATACCAAAAAATAAAGTCCAAGGTCACAAAAGTAGAGTGCATTTCCTGAACTAAAAAGAATGTCGGTGAGAAGGCTGCCAAGACAGAGAAGGGACCATTAAGTCAATGATGGTGGGAGGAATCGTTCAGGATGCAAGATGTGTCCTGAAAGTAGACAAGGACCAAACATGATGGCCTCTCAGTATCTGTACTACAAACCATAATGCCTCAAAATAGATAAAGAATAGTAAAGAAAAGTGCCTGCCAGAGAGGCAGGGGGTGGGGTGGAGTGGGGGTGGCGGGAGGAATTCTGGGGAGATTGGTGGTGGATAATGTACACAGGTAGAGGGACGGCTGTTTGATCATTGTATGAATGTAACTCAATCACGAAAGCTTTGTAACTGTATTTCACAGTGATTCAATCAAAAAAACAGTGATTAAATTTACAATGCTTTTAAAGTGTAGCAGAGTCTTTCTCTTAGTATTTACTACTTGTCCAAGAGACAAAATATTATTTATATTTAAAAAATGAAGTAGTTGTACTTACAAAAGAGGCAATAAATCTGATGAATTGTTCCCTTTCGTTCCTGTTCATCCTGACTTTTAAATTGCACTGTGGCACCGTAGTCCGTTGTTCACCAATTTGCCCCAGAGGGCACCAGTAACGTCTTCATTGTGAGACTTGTTGTTACTGTTTATGGCATATCAAATACGTCATGGGTAGCTTGCCAGGCTTTGCCATGTGGGCACGATACTCTTGGTAGCTTGACAGGCTCTCCGAGAGGGATAGAGGAATCGAACCCGGGTTGGCCGCATGCAAGGCTAATGCTGGACCTACTGTGCTATCACTCCAGCCTGACTTTTAAATTAAAAATATCAATTGTCCTTCCTATGCAAAGATAGGAAAAATTTTGGATATGTACCTGTAGCACTGTAGCACTGTCCTCCTGTTGTTCATCGATTTGCTGAGCAGGCACCAGTAACATCTCCATTGTGAGATTTGTTGTTACTGTTTTTGGCATATCAAATATGCCATGGGGTACTTGCCAGTCTCTGACGTGCAGGCGGGATACTCTCAGTAGCTTGCCGGGCTCTCCAAGAGGGATGGAGCACTCGAATTGGGGTGAGCTGCGTGCAACGCAAATGCCCTAGCCACTGTGCTATTGACTAAAAAATCTTTTGAGGGCTGGAGAGAGAGTCCAGAGGTTAAGGGGCTTGCCTTACCTGTGGCTGGTACTGTTTTAATCCTAAGCACAGTGTACAATCCCTAGAACACCACCAGTAGTGACCCCAGAGCACAGAGGTAGGAATAGGAGCTGAGAACTGCCAGCTGTGGCCCAAGAACACCTTCCCTCAACGATCTGAGGAACCGGCTATGGAGCTCAGTAGCAGAGCACTTACCTTCTCTGCATGAGGTCTTGGTTTCAATTCCTGGCACCCCAAAAGTAAGGAAATATTTTGGGGGATGGATAGGGCGCTTGCCTTGCAAGTGGCCAACCCTGGTTCGATCCATGGAGCCCCATCTTGTACTCTGAGCCTGCCAGGAGTAAGCCCTGAGTACAGCACAGGATGGCCCCAAACAAACTTTTGAGAGTCCTCTCAACAAACACCTTTTTTGTTTTCTTTTGGGACTATACCCAGCAATGCTCAGGGGTTTGCTCCTGACTTTGCAACAGGAATCTTGCCTGGCAGGCTCAGGGACCATATGGGATTAGGAGGGATTAAACCTGGGTTAGTTGCGTGTAAGGCAAGCGCCCTATCCACCGTACTATCCCTCCAGTCCCCCTCAATATACATTTATTCATTTATCAACTCAAATGAATTAAACAGTGCTACACTGTATTTTATATACACAGATGTAAAATTCATTAAAAAAATTACAGAGGAAGGTAAAGAAATGAAACCTTTTTTTTTTTTAATTTAAAAACTAAGGGCACAGATACCTAGGGGCCGCCCACGAATGGTCCCTCTGGCTACTGATCAAGATGCTTAACAGCCATGATCCCAGGGACACACACAAGCGAAACTTGGAACCCAGTGGCTTTTCGCAGAAATGTGTCCGTACTTTGCATTAGGTTGCCAGTGCCGGGTCACCCCAGGTGGGAAAAAGTGCCGTCCCTCCACCTATTTCCCCGGTAGCTCGGTGGCCGCCATTTTCCAGAGGCCATTGGACAAGTAGGGGCCAGCAGTGACAAGACATACAGGGCCTCACAGGATGGGGGTGGTGCTGGCCCTTGGCCTTCCCCGCCACAAGACCCCAAATCACTGCCCACGAATGGCCCCTCTGGCTACTGATCAAGCTGCTTAACAGCCATGATCCCAGAGACACATAAATGAAACTCAGAACCCAATGGCTTTGGGCAGAAATCCCTCCAGATTTAATTATTAAAATTTCATGCTAGTTACTGTCTAATGTTGCCTTCTTGGCAGGTCTGAGTGTTGGGGGAAAATCCCAATAATGATGGTGGATCTGGTGTCAAAATATTGAATGTAACCAAAGCAGAGGGTAATGTGGAAATCATCTGCCACACAAGGGGAGGGGGTGGGATGGGGGTATATTGGAGTTTTTGGTGATGGAAAATGGGCACTGGTGAAGGGATGGGTGTTTTATCATTTTATGACCGAGACTTAATCCTGAAAGTTTGTAACTGTTCTCACTGTGATTCAATAAATAAATTTATATTAAAAAAATGGGTGTGGGGGTCAGAGAGGATAGAAGAGCACTCAGTCACAACATGGTGAGAGAAAAGATGAATTAGCTATTACTGTCAGTTCTTTGCCACTGAACCTCCCAGGAAGTAATATCCGGGACTAGCTGGACTGAAGCAACTTAGAGAAGCATTAGATCTTGGCTTCAAACTCCAGAACCAAAAATGTTAACTAACACAAGAACTTAGCAAGATCTACATTGGCTCTGAAGAAGAATTAGTGAATTCACACACAACCTAACAGTCTCTTATAAAATTAATAGAAACAAACAGTCCTGGGATCTGTGAGTTTGGTGCTTAGTTTCAGGTCTTACCTTTGCTCCATGTTTATGCAGAACTTCCAGGACATCATTGTGAGCTCTCTCTGCTGCAACATGCAGGGGAGTCATGAAACTAGAGGGGAAAAAAAAAACGGGGAATTTGAGTTATGAACATCTGTTGCCTTTGCCCTTTAAGAACTGAACGACTTCCTACAATTCTACTTACTCTTTATTTTTTTCATTAACATTTGCTCCTTTTCTAAGTAGCAATTCTGTCACTTGCTTTCGTTTCGGATGTAAGGAGGCCACAGCGCAGTGCTGTAAAGTAAGCAAAACTAAGTTGGTAAAGTAGAAGACTTAAAAGCAGATTTCTAAATAAATAGTACCTGCTGACTACATAGAACACTGTTATCTCAGAGAGTATCAGAATTTACTTATATTTTGGAGACAATTAAGATTTTTCCACAATCAACCAGAACATAAGCCTTAGGTTCAGGTGAAATGATGCTCTTAATAAAACAGAGAAACTTTCTTTCTCTTTAACCAATAGTTTATCCAGTATATCCAGTATATATATTTATCTTAAAGTATTAAAATACCTCTTCCAAACTACAAAAAATAAGCTACTTAGTTGGTCTGTAGTTTGCTATTCATTTAAATCCAAAAGTGAAAATAAATTACAGGATATTCCACTGTGGGATCATTCTAATCCCAATCTGAGATGTATAATTCCTTTCTTATATTTATGGTATTCCCTCTTCCTTTTCTTTCTCTCATATTTCCCAAATAAAGCTATTTTACTCTTGGGGGAGAAAGATTTGGGGCAGAGAGGTAGTTTAAGGGTCAAGACACTTGCAGGGCCAGAGCGATAGTGCAGCGGGGTTTTTGCCTGCACGTGGCCACCCCAGGTTCAATCCCCGGCATTCCATATGGCCCCCTGAGCACCAGCAGGTGTAATTCCTAGTGGAGAGCCAGGAGTAACCCCTGAGCATCTCTGGGTTTTACCCCAAAAGCCAAAAAAAAAGGTTAAGACACTTTCTTTGCACACAGACAACCCTGATTTAGTCACTGGCACCACGGAAGGTCTCCAAGCACTGCTTCAAGTGACCCCTTAGTATAGCCCCATGTATAATCCCTGAGCACCATTGGGTAAGGCTCCATTAGCCTTTAACTCCACCCGTCCAACACCCTAGCAAAGAAAAAGAATTTCCAAATCAAGGTTGATGAAATGCTCTCTCACCCATGAAAGGCCCTCCAGAAACAATTTTAAAAATCATTGGAACATTAAAAGGCAAATCCTTAGTACTTCTGAAGTTTCTTTTACGTTTCTAAATGAAAAAAAATATTTTGTGTATGTATTCAAGGAATGTATACATAATAGAATCTTACCAGTGCAGTTTCATGAGACTGTGGTTGTTTGAAATTAATGATTTCCAAAGCAAGTGTTTTCTTGACTTTGGCTAGGTCTGCTTCTCTGGCTGCTTGTAGTAAAGAATGACCTTTAAATTCATCTGTTAATGAAAAAAGTAGTAGACAAAAATAAGATTTAAATCTACAAAATCATTAGCTTGATTAGAAAAACCTAAAAAATTCCACTAGTTTAATATATTACATATTTTGGCAATACCAACAGAATTGTGATGATAATGCAAAGGATGTGGGGATGTTGAAAAAAATTGGAAGATGTATGCTCTGAAACAGGACTGCCTCTTACAGATCATAAAATTCCACATACAAATATATTCCAGACAGCTTAACAAGCAACCCCATAGTTTAACGAAAGTAATCGTGTTACATAACCAGTGAATTCAAACTGGGATACTTTAACAGCGTTAACAAGAAAGCTGTATCTATATATGCTGATATGAAAGCATATATTATTAAATAAATATTCAATCAGCCAAAGAAAGGACAGGCTGAACCAATATTTTGTACTATCTCTACTTTTGCTAGTTTGGTTACTATTACTGTCAACACAACCAAAGATAAATAATAGCAGAAAAAAGGAAATTCTGATAACCAAAATATTAACAGAGTTATATCTTATCTCACAATGGAGACGTTATTGGTGCCTGCTTGAGCAAACTGATGAACTATGGGAGGACAGTGCTACAGTGTTATGTTTTTTCTCAAATAAAGAATGCAACGAAGTAAGTGTGTTAGAGTTGGAAAATTGAAAAATTTTATTTCGCTTGTACTTAAGTTTTACATCACAGAACACATTGCTTTTGCTATGTTAGGCCCATCACCCAATTAGTACTATGCAATTATTTGTTACTGTTGTTCTGTTTTTTGGGTCATACGTGGCAGTTGCTCAAGGCTTAGTCCTTTGTAATGTGCTGAAGGATCAATTATGAAGGACCATATGGGGTGTCAGGGATTGAACCTGCATTAATCCTAAGCAACGTAACTGCCCATTTCTGTACTAATTTTTCAGCCCAGTGCTTGGCATGTAGTAGTTCACAACAAAAATTTAATGAAAGTCAAACCATTTATAAAATAAACCCCGGTAAGCTCAGAGTGGGAAAAATCCATTTTTATACAACTCCTTTATCACTGCTAAATTCCACGAAGTACAGGACTTTGAAACTTCATAAATTAAAAATCCAAGTCAAATGAAATGAAAATCAGTATTTTCAAATAAGATGCCAGACTTCAATTTTGATAATAAACTCAGGAACAAAATAAGTCAGGAATTACTAACTACAATATGGAATAAGCAGTACTTGACAACTGAAAAGAGAGGTACTATGAAGATAACTGATTTCAAGCACAATGCATGTTTTCATCTTGAGTCATAGCCTAGAATAGTGGTTTTCAACTGTTACTGTGCAGACTGGAATTGATCCACAGGCATAAAAGTTTGAAAACCATTGTTCTGGAGAAACAGAAACTAAATTCAAATCATATTAGCATTTTCCCAAATGACAAATACTCTCTGCCCATCAAAGTAATCATAGTAATTCTACCTTTCCAATTATTCCTTTAAGTTAAAAAAATGGCTGAGAAAAACTTAAATATGAAGTTTTAGACAAAGAAAAAAAATAGCTACACAAAGGTAATTAAGAAATTATGGTGCAATAATGCAATCTCAAATAATAAGTAGCAAAATATTCCTTTATATTTGCTCTTTAGGGGAAAATTTAAAAATAATTTGCCCATATATATTTTCAAATTTTAATTATTTTATTTATACATACTTATATTAAATATAATTCAAAGAAAGGGAAAACTGTGTAATTTTCCTTCTCAACACACAGATTATAAAAAGGGTTTTTTTAAATTAAATTTTAGGTTAAAAGCAGTAGGCAAATTAACTCAAAATTGCCCTGACTGAAACTTAGTATTTCTAAAATGCCACTTAAATTTTCTCAATGCAATTTTAAGAAGAATAAAAGCAACTTTCAGTATTTTTCATTTCAACAGGTGGAGAACACTCTTTTGATCATTTGTTCTTAGAAAAACAATTTTTTTTTTCCTTTTTGGATCACACCCAGCGAATGCTCACAGTACTCCTGGCTCTGCACTCAGCAATTACTCCTGGTGGTGCTTGGAGGACCTTATGGGATGACAGGGATTGAATCCGGATCGGCGTGTGCAAGGCAAATATCCTACCCGCTATATTTTTGCTCCAGCCCCGAAAAACAAATTTTTAAAAAAAAACAAGAATAGAAAAAAATTGTGTACAATAAAAATGTAGTAATCATGGTATGGTCAAAATGTCTTCTTGATTCAGCAATTAAACTTAAGTATCTAAAAATATGAAACTGAAAAAAGAAGTTATATCATTATTTCAAATAGCTAAAAAATGCAAGTAATTGAAAGTGCATAATAATAAAATGATTGGAAAAAGACAGTATTAGATAATTTCATCTACATGTAAAATACAATTGAAAAAATTGATGATCGGACAAGACAAAATGAAAAAGATAGTTTAATGGACATCTGTAATAAAATTAAGATTACTTGAGGAGAGAAAGCAGGGAGAGATAAAGTGGGAAATTTAAAATTAAAAAAAGAACAAAGTTCAAAATTGGAGGGAAAACAAAAACACACAAAACAAAACCCCAAATTATTTGTTTTCTCTATAATTTTATTAAAAATAATTTAAAAAAAGAATTCTGCAATTGCAAATGCTTAATATAAAGCTGCAGGAATGTCTTCAGTTAGAAATGTTCCAAGTTCAGTGATTCCTTATTTACAGGTAATTCCTTGGCAAAATCAATTTAAAAAAAATAACAGAGAAGTTGAGAAGACTGAAAATTATGCTAGTGAGGGGAGTACTCTCCATACCAAAATACAGAACTTTAGCTTAAATCTTAAAGATTACACTGGAATGAAACTGGTGAAGCGCAATGTTAAGTCTCCAAATACTCAGAATTTGCAAGATGGTTGAAAAGTGGTGGGAGGGTGGTGAATGTTGGCACAAGGCTAAAGCTCATCCCAGGATTTAAGCTAAAATTAAGAAACTGGAAGGAAACAACTTCTTAAGCCCAATTGAACTGTCTGTCACTGTCCTCCCGTTGTTCATCTATTTGCTCGAGCGGGCCCAATAACGTCTCCATTGTGAGACTTCTTGTTACTGTGTTTGGCATATTTAATACTTTCAGTAGCTTGCCAGGCTCTCCAAGAGGGGCGGAGGAATCGAACCCGGCTCGGCCGGGCTGGCTGCGCGCAAGGCAAACGCCCTACCATTGTGCTATCACTCCAGCCCAATTAAATTGAACAAATTCCCTGGGCACATCATGCACTTTGCTGGGCACATTGAGGTTGTAAGATACACAGGCCTAAATACAAACATAGCACTTTAAAAATTATGTAACTAGACACTGCAAAAATGTTTAAAAGAATACCAAAATCCAGGTCTTTCTAAGAATTTAAATTCTACTGGAAAGATAAGATATAAACACTAAAACATAAACTATATAATGCAACATAATGCAAAATAACATATGGCAAGAACCCTGAGTGGGAGAGAAAATAAATGTACTTTGTCAAGGATTCAATGCTAAGACATCTGCCCAGTTATAATCTGGTTTGAGTTGGCCTATAATCTAGTGGATGTCATCTGTTCCATTTCCAAAATAAGTTTAAATTTCCACTTAAATAAAATCAAAATTACAAAAAAAAATTCTTGTTTTAACATAAACTAGTTTGAAACATGCTTAAAATTACATGTTGTTTAACAATGCTTTCACTGTGCGTTTTTTTAAAAGCCATCATTTAAAGATCTTTCTTAGGCATTTCAATTCTTTAAAAAAAAAAAACAAAAACCTGAATGCTAGAAAGAACAATCCACAGGATCAGTTAAAAATAGCCAGACATACAAAAAAAAAGTGTTCATCACTGGTAACTAGGGAAATGCAAATCAAAACAACCAGGAGACAAGACATCACACAAAAGAGCACTGCGTGGGTCAAAAATGGCAGAAACAACCATGCCAATAGAGATACAGTGAAAACAGAACCTTCATTCACTTGTTGGTGGAACTGGCGTCTGATTGAGCTTCTATCAAAACCCATATGGACACTCCCTCAAAACTTTAAAATAGAGCTATAATGTGACGCTCAATTCCAGTCCGTGGTATCTAACCCAAGAATCCAAAATGACAGTTCAGAGAGCTATGTTCATCACAGTGCTCCTTATAATAACCAAGATCTGGAAACAGTTCAACTGTCCACAATAGAAGACTGGATAAAAAAATTGGGGTGTATCTGTGTGTATGTGTGTGCATGTCTTGTGTGTGTGTGTGTGTGTGTGTGTGTGAGAGAGAGAGAGAGTGTGTGCGTGTGCACGCAATGGACTATCATTCAATTATAAGTAAAAAAAATGTCTTACATTTGCTACAACTTGGAAGGAGCTGAAGTATCTAAGGCAAGACAATTGAGTCAGAAGAAAGGCAAACACTGGAATGTAACACTCGGAGGTGGAGTATAAAGAAGCAAGGATTAGAGAATACAACAAGTGAAACACTTCCCATGCACTTAGCAGGTCCAGGTATGATCCCTGAGCATAGGGCTAGGAGTAAGTTCTGAGCACCCATCTCAAAAAAAGAATGAAACCAAAGCAAGAGAATAGGTCAATGAAAATAAGCCCTGAGACTCTGCCAACACAACTGGGTTAGCTGAACAGTACTGGGGAAAGAGGGGTAAATGGGGCTACAAGGGTGGAGCAAAGGACAGGTAAGAGAGAAGGTACCTAGTGGAGAAGAGATTGTTATTTTGGAAGTGGGTATGGTACAGCAACATTATAAGCCCAATACAAAAGTATTAGCACAGTTGTAAACTATGATATTTAAGTGGAAGAAAATTAGGTAGGTGACAACTAGCTTTATTTAAATTTAATTTAATTTATTTCTATTTCTGAATAATCACAAATAGAAATAAATGTATCTCAATAACTGATCTAACAATTTATTGTAAAGTACATCCTATCTAAATAAGATCCTGAAAAGGAAAAGAACTTCAAGCAAAAACTAAGGAAATATGAACAGAGTATGGCCTTTATTTAATAATGTATCAACATTGGCTCAGTAATTATGCAACATGTACCATACTCATGTAAAATGCTAATAGAGAAAACTGGAAATAGGAAATATGGAAACTATTATCTTTGTAACTTTTCTATAAATCTAAAACTATTCTAAAACAAATATTTTAAAGACACATGTACAGTTACTATTTGGGGATAGTACACAATCAGTGAATCATAAAAATGATCATATTTAAATTTGGGAAAGTAATGGCAGTTTGACTTCCACACACCTAAGAAATAAAAACATGAAGCATCCATGCTCTGGAAAGTTGTTACTGAGGGGTATAAATCAGAATACTAGAAATACCAAGGTTAGAGGAGGGAGAGGAGAGAGGGACAAAGAAAGTAAGGGAGAGAGAGACAGACAGAGAGACAGAGCGAGAGAGACAGACACATACATAGACACACACAGACACACACATAGTGTACATAAGTACACTACCTTGCAGGGCCAAGGGCACATGAGTGTTTAATCATATTAAGATATAATACCAGTGGCACAAGATACAAATACTGAGCTGAGAGAATTTTATGGTAGTACACTGCTGTGCTTCCACACGTGTCAAGGACATAACAGACAGTCAATAAATTGATAACCGAATCATCCTTATGGAGAGAGAGCCTTGCCACATGGACTTAAATTCAGTTGGAATACAAAAATAAATAGTGCATGTGTAATAAAGATTATGCGATTTATAAACTAGTATATTACGTGGGCTGGAGTGATAGCACAGTGGGTAGGGCATCTGCGAACCCGGCAAGTTACTGAGAGTATCTCACCCGCACAGCAAAGCCTGGCAAGCTACTCATGACGTATTCTATATGTCAAACACAGTAACAACAAGTCTCACGATGGAGACATTATGGGGCCCGCTCGAACAAATCGATGAACAACGGGAGGGCAGTGCTACAAGACAGTGCTACATCATGTGTAAGAATAGATTGTTAGAAAAATGAAAGGAAAATGAGAGAGCTCCATTTATAAGAAATCCAAATCAGGACAGGGGCTGGAGTGATAGAACAGAGGGTAGGGCATTTGCCTTACATACAGCCAACCTAGGTTCGATCCCCGGCATCCCATATGGTCCCCTGAGCACTGGCAGGAATAATTTCTGAGTGCAGACCCAGGAGTAACCCCTGAACATCACGAGGTATGGCCCCCAAACAAAACAATAAACCACAATCCACTCCCACCCCTCCAACCCCCCAAATCAAGACATAAATACATACATGTCAACCTCTCCCGGAGCTCAGGTGTTGGAGCCATATCCACAGCACTTTTGCCATGGCAATTGACTAATGTCGGGTCAGCACCGTGGCTAAGTAAGAGAGAGCAGACTTCTACACGATTCTTTGAAGCAGCCTCATGGAGTGGAGTAAACTGCCAGAGATCCATAGCGTTAACACAAGCTCCATGCTGAACACAGAGAGAAAGTTTTAGGTTGGAATGATCTTTCTAGACCAAATAAAATGCAAAAGACAACACTTTCAATTATAACTCTTTGAAATCTCAATACATGTTTTTAATTTTTCTATAAATTTCAGCTTTCAAAAACAATTTTAAATAAGTGGAATACTTTAAAATTAGTCAAGCAGCGGCAACATGTATTTTGTGTGAGACGTTACTGGTGCCCGCTCAAGCAAATCGATGAACAACAGGAGGACAGTGCTACAGTGCTACAATAAAGAAAATTAATTTGAGAAATAAAGGAAGAGAAGTACAGGCATCCCCAGAGTAGGTAAAAGTTTAGCAATTAAAAAAAAAGATTTTATTCTCTTAAAAATCTTATTGGCAATAAAACACATGAAAAATTGTGACAAGTTAAAAAATATGATAGCATTCATTCAGTGTTTTAAATTTCTCTTACCTTTAGTAGTAGTTCTGTGACCTCGTAATGTCCATATGAGCATGCATTATGAAGAGGCACAAGACCACTAAACAAAAAGAGGGCATATTAAAATACTTAAATGTCAAAAACATACTTATACAAGCACTAAAAAATAAAAATCAAATAAATCTTAACAAAATTTTATTATAAAACATTTACAAATAGTGAACAAGATTTTTTTAAATTACTGTTTAGGTTCAAAAACTTTAAATTCATCTTATTTTTTGTGTAATTCTTCAATTTAAAAATTAAAATCCAATGAGAAAACCATTTAGGTGAAAGAACATGTGCTAATGAACAGTTCATGTTTTATAGATCATGTAGCTCTAGAAAATAAATATTAGTAGTCAATTGAAAGATTCCTAGTATTTTATTTCATCTTCAGCATAATTTCCAGCAAAAGAATTAAATGTCCAAACTACTGTCACTTGCATGTGTAAAAGTATCACTATGAATGAGTCAAAGATCCCCTTTGTGTGGTTCACTTCTCTTGGTCACTCACCTACTGTACACCCATCTGTTTTCAGACATGCACAAGGAAACAGAGATGTCCAAGAGCATCAGGCATTTGTGCCCCTGCACTCTTGGGACACCATTCACATATGGCACAAAACCTGGCACAGGCAAGAGTGAAATCAAGCACCATAAAAGGAGATTTGAAATGGATGGTTCCCCTTTCTGTAGCTGTCTGAAGTACTGAGTTCTTTATTTCTGTCTCCTGCCGTGGAGAGGGGCAAGGTGAAAGATACCCTTAGCCATGGTTTTGCTTCCACTATGCCAATCACCAGTTAATATGAGCACTTTACCTGGGTTTTAGATCTTAAGATGGGATAATGAGAAATGTTAGCGCAGCACATAAGATAACAGACAGAATTCATATGTCTGCGGAGACTAGAGAGAAAACCGGTACAATGTTTTCCAAAAGTCAACCTATTCATAAGATAACATGACTATTTTCTTGGTTCCCACTCACCCAAAATCACTGTTGTTTCAAAAAGATCTTTTTTTAGGTTTTCTCAGTATAAACTGCCAAGGTTTCATCAGAGAGGAAAAAAATTAAGAATGCTTCGAGTTATTATTAAGAGATAATCCTTTCATACCTGATGAAGATGATACCTATTTTTTGATCTCTCTGAAAAGTAACTTGGAAAGTTGAAAAACTGGTGACTGAGAACAAAAAATTCGAATCTCAAATAATAAAACTGCAATAACATTAGTTGTAAACATGCCTACAGTTCTCCATAAGCTGAAAAAGAAATGACACAGATGACTTGCCTTGGCTACAGCTTTAAAGCTGTATCATATCAGAAGGTGAAAGCATAATGATCCAGGAGCAAAACCTACGAAGGAAATAAATCAATACACCTACCCTTTGTCTTTTGCATGAACATCAGCACCATGCTGAAGAAGAAGCTGCACTATCCGAACCCGGTTGTAGCCTGCTGCTAGGTGTAAAGGTGTAGACTAGAAAAGAAAAACACATTTCCCTCCTTAGGCAAGCAATTCTTGATTTGCCCCTTCATCCATACTTGCTCAAATTAAAACACCATGAAGGTTAACATACACAGAAAACACTAGGTTGAATTGCAAAAAATTCTTACTTTCAAAGTTCACTAGCCTCGAAGTAAATTCTATCTACCTATCGCCTACATGTTTTTCAAAACCTTTAGTCCCAAGCCCTACCTTAACTGCTTTACATTATTGTATATTACTTTCTAATATTACCACTCTCACGGTTCTGGAAAATATATTAGGGCTCCTACTTATTAGAGCAAGCACCCTTCTTTATCCTAATACAATCCTGTTAACCATTTATATTATGTCATAAACCTTAAAGAATTGGCTCTCAAATTTCTCTTTAATATGAAAAAGTGATAAACATCCCCAAAGAATTATATGAGAACACTTTGGTGGAAACAGGTAAGACAATAGACTGATTCATTCTATTCAGTTCTTTGTGACAGGCCAAAACTGATTTGTTACAATGGATATAAAAACAATGCAAAGACAGTATTTAATTAATGTTATTTTGTAAAATAGATAGGCTGCATAAATACAAGAGGAAAATATAGTTATCACATTTTCATTTTAACCATGTCATTAAAAGGTTCTCTGCTAGAATTTAACACGGTAATTACAACAATCAAACTTGTCACGTAAGAAAATCAGAAATAACTTTTAATTAGAAGCTCTTTTCATTATCACAACAATTTTTATACCTTTGCTCAGTTACTTTAAATTTATACACAATTATGCTTTCTATTTTTTAGTCTTCTATTTACATCTTGGGATTTAATAACATATTCAATTTACTTTTTTCACATATTCGAAATGTCAAGATACAAGAGAATTACTAAATACTGCATTATCTATTACTGCTTCCAAGGAATTCCATACATTTTAATATACTGACTGTCCGAGCTTAGGAAATATCTTTGAGCAATGACAGCTAATAATGAGGCAGTCACATAAATTACAAGTGGGTTTTGTAGTCTGGAAACACGATCATGCTCCAGGAACTGATGAATTCTGTATAAATCATATCACCTATGTTTCTCAGTCTACTTCATATATAAAATGGAGATAAATCACCTGCCCTAAATATCTCTAACAACTGAAAATTAATAAAACAAAATGTAAGAACATATTACAAAATGTGAAAATACTTTTAAGATACATGAAAACCTTTTAAGATATAAAAGACCATAGAAAAAAACAGCATTAAAATTTTCATAACCTTAAAACAACTTACTCAACCTCTGCATTAGATACACGTCAAATGTTACTTCTGAGGACTTGAGGTACCTTCTCCAAGCATTTTGAAAATTTGCTTCACTATCTTCAGGCATGCACTGTTTCAGGAGGAACACGTCACTGTCCTTATCTTTTTAAAAGCTGTGTACATCTCTTTCACTTTATCCTTTCCTTCGTGCACCCTCTCTTCTGTGTGAGTGTGCATGAGCTCATATTCGGAAAGTTGCTCAGTATCTCTGACCTGATAATGGCTTTCACAAAATTTAGAAGGCCCTCAGCTACTATTTCTTCACCTATTTTCCTGCCTTTTCTCCTACTATTCATTCCTTCAGTGACTCCAAGCACACCCAGACCAAGTTGCATTCAAAGCTTGCTTTGAAGATTTGTTAAGTAGGACCTAAGCAGCCTTTATTCTAGGACAAATTTACAACGCCTACTGAGCACTACCCTTCTGAGCGCTCTAACATGTCTCCTCTGGCTGACAGCAACAGAAACAATTAGACTTTGTGTGAGTTGGCAGTACTATGACCTCTAATCCTTCTGGGGGAGGTTGTTTGATCAGCCCAAGGCAGCTTTCTCCTTCATGTATGAGTCAATACTTGGCTGAAGACCCTCAGAGGAACATTTGCAGAACTCTGGAACTCTCTGTTCTTCCCGGCTGGTCCTCCATTCATCCTGCTACCTCTGATCAGCTTTGTCTCCTCCAACTCCTAATTCTATTTCTCAATTAGAGAGACTGCTGGGCTCCCTCTGGCTTTCTCCCTGAAGCAAAACCTGGAAATCCTTCCAGATGGAACACTGGAACACTGACAAGCTCAACTCATTATCTATCAATCTCGCAGGGATGGGTGCCACGCACTGCCTGATGTCCAGTCTTGGAAAACTGCATTATGTTTAATTTGTCTCTTTTTTATTGTTTCAGGATGAAAGGTAATTTAGTCCCCATTATTTCATCTTGGGTGGCTTTTAGGAGTGACCTGGACCTGGCACTCACTGAAGCTGTTTCCTCTAGAGAGGTTACAGGGACTACTTTGGATGACTGGTCCATGCACGGGTCAGTTCTTAACAGAACACTGATGACATCCGTATTATACGGATAGGGTGACATCTTCACTGATGATGGACAAAATCAGTTTCTCTTTTTATACTAAGTTTACAAAATTTTATTTGTATATCACTGATTCAATAATTTTTTTTCTTACTCTTGAAAATGAACAAAAGTGGACAAATACACATATACTCAGACACATTTAAAAGTATAAAGCATAAGGAAAAAAAACCCAGTTTCTGAATTTTTAGCCACTTTAAGACAAAATTATTTACAATGTTTTCAAAATGGTAATATAGTTAAACTGTTGACATTTATATAACTCAAATTATAAGGTTCTGACAAGCTAGAAAGTGAAAGATGGTCTACAATAAAATGGTTGTGAAAAAATGAAGTTAAGCAGTGAATGTCAAAACGATTACAAAGCCGAACTGATAGAATAAGATAACTGATACAGGCAGTAAAAGATACAGTAGTTTCTAGATTGGAAATGTCAGCGAGAGCTCCAAGAAAGGAAGGAAACAGGGAGGAACGGAGGGAGGAAAGAAGAGATAAGATTAGTTGAGAACAGCAAAGCAGAATACAAGAGCCCAGAGGGAATTCAAATTTGGATTAATTGAATTTGAAGTGTCTATCTGATACCCTAGTGGTAAAAGGAATAGAATTCAGGAGAAATAATAGCTGAGAAGCAATTTGGTCATAACTGGCATTTACTTAAAGATATTTTAGCATCTGCCACTGTAAATTTTAAGCATTGTGGTAAATGTTAAACACAGTATGGGGAACTTTATTTCAAGTAGAATAAAAAACACATAATAATACCTGGTGGACATGGTATATTTGAGAAACTAACAAAAAAATATAAGCAGCCAAGTGTAGCATCTTTTGGAGGCGATGAGAAAGTCTAAAGACTTTAAGCTGAAAACCACTACATACTAGAGTTTTCCCCACCATTCATCTGAGATATATATAAGGCACTGGCAGAACTTTACAAGAAATAACAAAAACCATCGAAAAGTGGGACAAGAGATGAACAGAAACAATAGTACATATACACAATGGACTACTACTCGGTTCTAATTAAAGTTGAAATTGTGCAGTCTTCTGCTACTTGGATGAATCTGGAGAGTGTCATGCTAGTAAGTGAAGTCGCCAGGAGAGGGACAGACACAGAACTATGTCTCTCAGATATGTGATATAAAGAAACACAGCAGGGGACTAATAAATGCCCAAAGGTTACAAACTGACAACTGGCCTTCAGCAGGAGGCCTGCTACAAGAGAGGAGGGGGGGATACCCGGACAACAGTGGTGGAAAGGGGACTCTTGGGCAGAGGGTGCGGTGTAGGAAGGTTCCAAGCAGGAAATCCTTGCCTAAAAAAAAGGGCCAGAACAACAGTACAGCAGGTAGGGTGCTTGCCCTGCACATGGACATCTGGGTTCAAAACCTGGCATCCCATGTGGTTTTTCCTCCCCCCCCCGCCCATATCTCCCACCCCAACCCAGCCTCACCAGGAGTGATCCATGAGCTCAGAGCCTGAAATCCCGAGCACTGATGGATGTGACCCAAAAAATGAAAAACAAAACAGCAAAAAAGACTCGGATTTTGGCAAAATCACTTTAGTTATTTTCCAGAGAACCTGGCAGAGAGAGGACAACTGGAGGCTAATCCAGGCTGCATGACAGAGTGGGTCAGCAAAATGGCAGCAGCATCTGAATGGGCAGAGCTGAGCTAGAAGAAGGATGAATTCACAAGGAGAGGATGGGAAAAGTGGGATGAGACTTTCTGAGTAGTTGCTTCAGTGAGGATGCTTATCACACACACACATTGTATAACATCACTTGAATGCACATAAATTAGAAGAAACATTCACAGTGAAATATTACACACCAAATCGTAGCTTCTAATGCAAAGCAATTAAAATTATGTGTTCTAAAACTAAATTTAGCAAATGGTTACCACACAACTAACTTTACACCTCAACTGCCAAGTGGAAAAGCAATGATAAAAGTTTCTAAATGTCAAAACTGAAAAAAAAAATCGAGCATACTCATGTGAAATATTCACATTTAATAATTTTGTGTTGTAAACTAATGAAGGACTCAAACAGCTAAGACATTATTACATACAGTTTGTCTATTACAACAACTTTGTATGCATGAGATTTACTATTAAAGTACATTATTTTAATGGGAATAACTTAAAAGTCAAACAAGTTGTGAGATAAAATACCAACTCCTAACTACCAAAACTATCTAAACGTCTATTATTCTGCTGTAAAAAAAAAGTATTATTACTAATATTTTATATGATCAATGTTAGCAGAAAAAAAATCCTTCACAAAATTCCCAATTTCAAAGTATTTACCTGGAACCAGGTTAAAAATTTTGATAGACATATGCATATTTGCTTAACATTTGATAGACTTACAGTTCAGTATGAAGCATGAGGAAGTTTTAACTTATTCTATTTTTATGTGTGTGTGTGTATATATGTATTTTTAATTTGGGGGCCACACATAGAAGTGCTCAGGGCTTATTCCTGGCTCTGTGCTCAGGGCTCACTCTAAGTGGGTGATCATGTAGCATGCAGAGAATGGAACCCTGGTTGGATTCGTACAAGGCAAATGCCCTCCTAGCTGTATTATTGCTCCAGTCTCATTT